AGCCTGTGCGAATGTTCCATAGGACTGGAAGTGTTATCGGCATTTACAAAATTCCCATTAATGTTCGTCTCATTAACGCCAGAATGAAACTCCTGGTCTTTGGATCGTTGGGATCCAGCCTGCTTTTCATCCGACTCAGAATGTTCGTGCTGACATGAGTCCGTATTCGTGAGACTTGTGTCTTCGTCCAGGGTGTTGAAATCTTCATCAGATGCAACCATATCAGCATCAACGTCATCATCGTTTGTTTCTTCTCCACGATGTTTGGGTGTCCAGGTCATTTTATTCTCCTTCTTCAGTCTTCGGCGAGCGTTTGCAAACCAAGTTGAAACTTGTGTCAAGGTCATTTTGGTAATTATTGCTAACATGATTTTTTCACCTTTTGTCGGGTATGGGTTTTTGATGTGCTCCTGAAGCCAAGCTTTAAGTGTTGCTGTGCTCTCCCTTGTGGCGTTTCGACGACGTGCCGTGCTTAGTTCCAGGTGTGGGCTAAGTGGATTAAAACAAGATCTTTTTGATCAATTGGAACAACTAATTTACGATAATCAGACCAACAGATTTATTTATATCGAAACTAAGACCAAATACGCCTGGTCGGTATGAGCTTATCTTGAATGCGGTACATCTATTTTAGGGGTGCGAACAATGATATTTCTTACAAAGGCAGTTACTGAACAGTCACTCAGTTGTTAGACTATTAAATAAATGGTGACCCACTATTCACTCATCCAAAGGTTTGAATAAAAATGACCTAAGTCTTGATCCTGCGGAGAATATACTTCGAAAACAAGATGAGAGCACTTCATACTGAAAAAGGGTACTTTTTCTGTGGAATGGCACGTCGAACACCATGTTTTGTTGCTTTTCAAAATAGAATACACCCATTTGTAAAACAAAGTATAGCAATTACCCTTATTAAGATGAGATATCATCGACCTCATCTCATGCATAAAACCTACACGGTGGAACGATGGATGTAAAAACACTTATATCTTATAGGTGTGCAAACCTCAAGAGAGTTTCTTCTGAATAGAGGCCGCTCAGACACTGTGGGAAGCCACCCATAGAAAAGGGCAAAATTTTGTGCATCTCTCAAGAAACGATATTCTCGCTAAAGTTTCACTACTTTTCGAGGCTGACGCTAACTAGGAAAGCTTTAAGTTTACACTTAGGTATTCCACACACTACTA